ACAGCCACAGATCCATTGATGTAACCTATAACTGTAGTTGATAGATTGATGATAATATCATGTAATATCTATATATGATATATTGATAGATAGTTGATGGATATCATAAGATATTATAAGTTTAAACTATTTTAAACTATACCCTCCAGTAAACCAACATAACTGTGGAACATCACCATCTTTAAGTTCGGGAAAGCATCTATGTCTATCGGCTATCTCTGCCATAGCTACGCTAATTTAAAAGAAGGTAGGTGATAATATCATATAATATCTATCGTTGATACTATCTAGAGTTGTTATTCTTTAGTTCACCAGTTCACCATAGATATTTATATAGTTTTAGTTTTAATATCTAAAGGTGATAACTGATATGATAACTTCACCATTCCCCACATTTTGGCTGACTGTCCGACGCTGTCCTCAACCTCTCCCAAACCCTCAGGTTCCACATTCGAGACCACCTGCCATGGCAACGCAAGCCGGAGTGAAAAAAGGTAGCTGTAAGGAGTGGTTGATGATTCTAATGGTTTAATGTGGATTCAACCATCACTGGTTGGTGGTTTCAACCCCCTGAAAAATATTAATCAGATTGGATCATCATCCCAACTATTGGGGAAAACAAAAAATGTTCCAAACCACCAACCAGATCATGTATCTATTACGAATCAACAATATGAGGATAACAATGGTGTGAAAAAATCACAGTTTTTGCTAGACTTTTTGTGGTTTCAACCATGTTTTGTTCCAGCTCAAAAGGATGATCATTTCATATAATCCATTGCCCATCTGATCGACTTGATTCCTTCGGTGGATTTCAGGGCCTTTTTATTTTTTTGTGCCTCGAAATGTGATGATTCACCAGGTTGAATTCATGCCGATTTTAAGCGTTCTGAACATGTGGTTGTTATATCACCATATATCACCTATTTTTTGTGTCCAAATATGTTATAACATACACTCAATAAGTGTATAACAAACACATCTCCAGTACTAGTAGCTTGGGGATATATATCAAGCCAGATCAATCCAACTATTGCCGATATTATCTGGGTATCCAATGAATGATAGAGAGTGGAATCAATCAAAGTATCCAAAACATCCAATTGAGCAGGATTTAAAACCTGATTATGAATTGGTTCTACTGGTTTGTTCATAGCTGTTCCTATGATGGATTGTTGGCCGATTTCTTCTCCATAGCTAGTAGGGCCCCACTATTAACCATAAACGCATGCTTTCGGACAATGCTCCTATTGTGATCATGATCATATTCAACGAATCCAGCATTTTTGTTGGTGAACTCACTACTTTGGATGATCAAAATCATGTCATGTGGAGGTTTCCGTTTTGTCATAGGGGTACCCCATTCGTTCTCATCCATTTAAAAAAAGGAGGGATTTTCCCATGGAAATCAACCATCCAGCGACAAAGGGGTGTCGCCTCTTCCGTCGGCTTTGAGAGCTGTGCGTCCTGCCTTGGCACATCTTGGCAGCGCCGTTTTGATGGAGGCTTTTGGCAAGCAAAAACAGGCTTGAACTTCCATGAAGTAATAAAAGAAAGGACAACTGAATGGGTATTTCAGAAGGGGATTTATATGACATTATATGACCAGCAAGATAAACTGCGTGACATGTTTGGTGTGATACATGTTTGTTACATAACCATCTTAGATCATCTCAGGGTCTCAGGGGGGTTCTTAAGTCATGGGGGATCCCCAGTCGTCACCATGCTTGTTTTAATACTAAAGTCTACTGACTGGGATGATTTATCTGGTACCCCCCCCCATTTTCGGAACCTCCAAATCACTAGAATCACTAGACACCATTATTTTTCACAAATGGCATTGAATGGTTGATATTCAATAGTTGATTCAACATTAACCATTGACTATTGGAACATATTGGAACCCCGTCCCGAGCTCCAGCCACCGAAAGATATGGCCTTCCCAGGGCCTTCCCTGGGCTGCCCCGGCTCTACGTTCAAGCCACCTGGGAAGGGGGCTTGAGGGGCCCTAGTTCAAACTGGACGATTGAAGCACCAAAAATTGCAGAATTTTTAATACTATGATATCCGGGTGTGTCGGAAAATGGTGATATACCCCCTATTTTGGGGAAAACACTCCATCCAAATCATTGGAACTGGATCTGGGGGGGTAGCCATTCTCAGACAAAGCCATACACTCTGTGCATGTAGCAAACTTCAACGTTGACACGATGCGATATGTAAAATGATTACAGTACTCCCAAAAACTGAAAATGGATGTTTCAATAACAATTGGAACATCACCATTTTCAAGATATAAATGGACACTTTTTTCCATAGCTACATCTACTAGTGGCTAAACATCAGGTGGTCGAGATGCAGTCAAACATGGGTAGATGACAGTAGCTGAGAAATCCCTGAACTAAAAAAGAAGGGTTTACTGGGAACATCATAAAACTCAATGTGGGATTTTCGGATTTTTCCTGGACCGAAGATTGAGACAGTGCCCCATTCCACGGCTATGGCTGAAAACTACTAACCCCAAATAAAAATGTCCCTTCTTCGATTGATGAGCATCGTCCAAAATCATCCAAGAATATCTAAACACATCAACGGAAAAAAAATACCTCTCAAATAGGCTTTTCAAACGTCATCGATCATCAAAACATCTTATTATAACATCATTCTCGATCTGTGCTTTTTATGTGGTTATTTCGAACCCAGCCCAGCAAATCCTCCTGAGTTTTCCCGCAGGTGCTCGCAGTTGGCGCGTTCTCCAAAGGTGCCTAAAAGGATGCAGAAAGTCATCAGCCAACGGAGCAATCCCAACGGGAAACTCAGAAAAATATCAAGAAAGGGGGTTGATGATGGTTTATGGCATCGGGTTTGCTACATCTTACTACAGAATATCATAATCCGCAATCATTTTGCTGAAAATCAAATGGATCCAGATACTCCACACAAATTGAATTGTTTTGAAAACCCGCAGAGGACTTACGAAGCGCAGCATGATATTTTCCATCAATTTGCATCCAACCTCAGATTCTGATAACACACAACCTTTTTCGATAGGGGGAACATGGGATAATACATTTGCGAATTCAGATTGATGAACGGAGTTTCTACTGGAAACCAGGGTGGCCAACCCATCGCTTTGAAATGGTACATCCCGCATTCAGATGGGATGGATGTTGTGTCATGCAACCATAAAAAGAAGAAACGACATGATTCGACCATCAATCGGTATGACCTCCCATGTTCATACAGTCTCTCTTACATTACATGCTTTCTTAATAATACGATGAGAATGCATATATCTGGGTAAATTATAATATTTCACTAACCTGAATCTTGCGGCCATTTGGGGATGATTTCCCTTACTAACTATGATTCCAGTGAGGGAGAACAGTGAGGTCGCAACATAATTTACCCAGTATGTATGTCCCGCCATATTCATCCACTATCAAAACATCCATGCCATGTATGCAGGATATAGCCACTTTCAAAGAGAACTCAGGTCTGCCACCCAGGTTTCCAGTTTATTTTTTCCATCAATTTGAACTCAGGAAAATATATCATCCAATTCTACCCATAATAGTTTAAATGTATTATATATACACGTATATATATATATATGTTATTATCTATAGGTTATTATCAGAATCTGGGTAAAATAGCTAGTTTCTTCGTGCAATGGATACAATACAGACATATGGGTTTTATATCATGTTTACACCCCCCAACATTCATTCAAACCATTGCTTAACTTCCCATTATCTATACTAGTTTAAATTATAATATTTCCTGAATTAAGGCCATTTTGGGATGATTCCCCTTACTAACTATGATTTCCAGGGTTCGGGAGAACGGTGAGGTCGCAACATAATTTACCCAGTATGTATGTATATGTCATGTATCATGTGCCTGGGAATCTATAGCTCCAACTGGACAACTGCAACTGTTGCGACTGGTGGGATGTTAAAAAGACCGCCGCTACCATGGGGATCATCATTTCGCGTCCCATGAACTCCACCTCCTGTGCCATGGCGTTCCAAGTCCGGGCGTTCCTGATGATTCTTGCACGATTGTTCTATGGGGGTCAAACATATCTTGGTGTTTTGGTTAAAATTGCTGATAGTAAGCTTCTTTTTGGAATAGCCATGGATTGCTGGCTTGACCAATGACTTGAGTTCAGTCAATTTTTCGCTGAACGATCTACCATCATAGCCATGGAATAGCCAAGGAATAGCCATGGAGTAGCCATGGATTGCTCATTGTTTTGGAGCCAACCAGTCACCGCAGTGGTTCCATGTGCCGCAATCTGGCAATCACAACATGAATCGCTTGGAAGAACGAACTTGGGAGATGCTTGAAGCTGACCCTCTTGTAATCTAACCTGGCAATGGACCTTGTAAATGGTGACCCTCTGGGTTTCCATGAGACATAATGATGCTGCAATTGTTTCAGAGGGAATTTGGTGGTGGACCCACCCTGACACATAGGAAATACTAGGAAATTAGATGAAAATCGTGAGGATTTTTTCATCCCATGATCCGACTGTGTATGGAAAATAACAAGTCGACTTCAAACGTCTTCAATCCGCACCGGTGGAATTATAATCCCCTACATCATCCCGGGAGGGACATCGTGTGGTTATGATACAGAAACTGCTTGATGGTATACCTACCCCTCTGAAAAATATGAAAGTCAAATGGGAGTATTAATTATTCCCAATATATGGAAAAATAATCCAAATGTTCCAAACCATCAACCAGAATTATTTCCAGTCTTGTCAAGCATCCCTTGATTTTCTGGGTCGCTATGAATAGCGAAGATTGGAAGGTGATTGTGCACCAATCAACACATGGATCAAGATTGGGTACACAAAATAGAATGATTGCTCCAAAACATAACCAAAATGAATGATTTTTGCTAGGCCGGAACTAATTCACCCCAGCCTGTAAATTGAACAAATCTATAAAGAGCTACCCGGTCCGCAGCGCAGCAGCAGTAAAGCATTTCCCCGCATCTTGCAGGAAAAGGAACTCACATCACACATTGGGCACGACCCGAATTAGATCAAAATGCTCCATGAGTTCCGGGTGTGGCAGTTCAGTGGTTGTCAGGATCATAAATTTGAAGGTGGCCTCAATTTCAGCCATGGCCATGTCATTTCTGTTCCACCCCTGGGAAGGGGATAGGACCTTAATTTCTGGGACGAGGGAACATCTCAAGCCGTCTCCGTCACCTTTGAGAATCGTTTCATTAAAACCACAATGGATCGGTTTCAGGGAAAAATCTACAGGAAACCATAGATTTTCCCAGAAAATATGGGAAATCTTAACCGGAAACCATCGATTTTCCCGTGAAATTCATGGGCAATTTATGGGCCTTTCCTGTTAAAAAAAACCCTTGGACGAACTGGATTGGTTTCATCCTTGGGGATGGAACATGAGCAACACTTGGGAGTAGCTGAGGGGAATCTAGGGAAATCCATGCACAGAATTTCCGGAAAACTACATCTTATCATCAGGGGATTCCAAAAAAAAGCACAACTCCAAGGCTTCATATTCATTCTCAACAACATGTTACCCATTTTTTATTGAATTGAAAAGTACGCATCCTGTCAATCTTTGGAGGAAAACATGTGGGCAACAAAGGTGAATCCAAAGGCTATAAACAATGTCCAAATCATTTCTAACATTTTCTAACCCCAGTTGCTAATCCTTCAACTAAAAAAAAAACCATAAACATGTGATACACCGGGCCGCGAAAAGGGGATCTAAGCTACTGAAAAAAGTTGTGTCTTACTTGGGATCGTCCCGTTTCTGAACAAAACACTAACCCGCCAAGCAAATCCAATAGAACACAACAATTAGTATCAACTGTAGTTATGAAAACAAAAAAAAATATTTGAATAGTATTGAATAGCAGTCTTCAAGATGTTTTTCCGAATTTCTTGATCATCTTGACGTTACAGTAAGCAAATATAGCTGAATTACACTTCACCAAGCTGAGATAAGGCAATTTTGAGATAGGTCGCAGTGAGGTCGTGATTCAATCTATCCAGATATATCCTCATTACATCCCATTATATCCCATTCTAATGCATTGTAGTCCTTTATAATCTATTGTACCACCATTAATGCTCGTTAAATTATTATTTCTGTTGCTCAAGAGTTATAGTTATAATATGTTTGCAGAATAGACGGCGTATTGATAACCTTTTGCGTGTGCCATCTGTTTCCCGTATCGGCATAGTTACCCTCACATAGCCATGGACAATCACCATACTGTAATCCTCTATAAATGGTGTGGTTCTCACTAGCTATGTTCGTTTACCAAAGGGTATACGGCATACCCATACGGGATTGTCTGAAAATATGATACCGTTAAATCCATTGATTAGTCATCATTTTCCCCATTCAATGGTCATTTAGAAGGCATACCCCATTAATTAGCCACTTAGTTAATTAACCAGGTATTAAACACCACTAACCACTTATTATAACCACAATGTGAGGCCCCCAAGATAGCTAAGTTGGTTTATAACTCCAATAACTATGGTTTATGGTACTTATAACTATAGTTACTGGGGCTTATAAACCAACAAACATAACTGGTATTAACCACTATTAACCAATCTAACCCACATTCGCCATGAACAAAATCACCATAGTCCAGCGCAGGCACAAGGCGTTTCTCCTCAAAGACCTGCGCCTTGAAACGGTCTTGGCGTTCCTCCTGGAACGAAGGAAATGGCGCGCAAAAATGTTGGCTAATGTTGGTTAATAGTGGTCAATAGAAATGGCATTCGTTGATTAAACTCTAACAAAGCTATGGTTCTATGGGTCAAATTATCATTGAATGGGCAAAAAAGGTGATTTTTCATAGTAATTGAATGGTGATTTGAGGATGACTTATATACATGGGATTCAACAGGATTTTGTTCAGGTAGTTTAACAATGACCCCTCTGGTAATTCAACATAGCTATCGGAAGTCACCGTCGCAGGTAAATCAATGAACAAAAAGGGCAAGTTTCCATAGCAAACTGTTGAATTCTCAGGGGGTATCATATGGGTTACCACTAAACCGAAGGATTCCATGGGATATCTTATGGGATGGTGTGTATAGAAACCATTTGCCTTATGGTATTAGTGGTGTTTAATATCTTATGGGATATACTATAGAAACCACCAATAACCAGGTATTCAATAGGATATGGGATATGTATCTTATAGTTTGATTTTGGGATAGCTATTGGGTGTTGCTGACAATATTCATGAACATACAGTAGGCCAATAGGGAACATGATGATAAACCAATTGCCATCCCAAAGTCCCGCCTTGGTGGTCAGCTCATAGAAGGCTGGCATACCACGGCCAGAGCTTGGGGCCTGATGTATTGCAATCTCCAATAGAAACGAGCAAGACTGGGATATAACCAGGGTTGAGATATTCGGATGTTCAGAGATAATCACTTGTAAGTGTTGAGAATCTTATATTATGTATGGGTCTTGCCATTTTTAAACTCATGCACTGGAGGAGTTTTAATTTACACGCTGGGGACAACATATATCAACATATAATCAATCAAACATAAAACTCTTAAGGGACACCATTCAGTTTGCAACATCGCAAAAAATGATTCAGCACATTTCAACACCTTCCAAACTAGACAATAGGCTGAAATACACTGGTACAACATCAAATTCGATCAACAAACATATGGATTGCAGTATTGAAATGATGGAAATTGTTGAATTGCAACAATCCAACCATTGGTATCTTTTGTGATTGCTATCCGAGTCTTTGTTGCAAAACGGACAACACAAATCATGGCTGGATATGGCCATCAAATTATCAGCTATAAACCAGCTTCAGTCGCAACTCAAAACTCGATACCCTCTGGTAAACTCACATAGCTATCGGAAATGGACCATCAAAAAGTTCGTTGATTTACCCATCAAACAATTGTGGTTTTCCAGTTCGCAAACGGTTATTTTTTAACAGAGGGTCAATGAAACAATTTGGTCGCCTTCAGTATGAGCAGTATATCCACATCTCTGATCCAACCCCATGACTCGAGCTCAATCCAAAGACACGCCTTCAGAAGCTGTCTGCTACACAAGTCTGCGAAGAGTTTGGGGCGCAATTCCTGTACCGCGAGGGGACCCGGCTGAGACACAGAGAAATGTGGGTGCCCCAAAATGGTGATGTTGAAAATATGGTATCCCAAAACCCAAGACCGTGTATAATTGGTTTTTCTCATTCAAATCAATGTGCTGTCCCGAGTTATACCCTCTGGTAAACTGTCACATAACACATAACTATGGAAAATCACCATGTTTTATCGGAAATTCCACTATTTCTATGGTGATTTTCCATAGTTATGTAAAGGTTTACCAGAGGGTATAGATTAGAGTTTTCTAGTTACAGTACGATACCTGGGGTTACCCCATCAATGGAGCTATAACTAAGTACCTATGTGATGCGAGGCACCGCCGATGCGAAAATCGAGATGCTTGGCGAAAATCCCATGGACAGAAGGATTTTAATGTTGATCTAGCCATTATATATATATATATATATCAACATTAAAATATGAACTATATATGAACTACTATATTTCATATATCAACTATATATATATATTATATGAACTACTATAGATCCTCCCTTAAATATCTTAAATGAGACATGAACCTGACCTTAACAATCATTTATGACGTACATGTCACGGTGACACCTACAACATCAATGTTCCATATTGATGACCTTCCTCATGACTAAGTCCCAACTTCTTGGTCATCCCAAAAGCGGGACATCCCATCGGGAATATCCAGAAATAAGTAATTTCCCATGTTGGATTCATATGTATACTTATAGTGCCACATGTATATTAATGTATACTGTATATATATATATATACTTATATACATTTGAAAAATACATCTGGCACTGTAAGAGTGTATCTTGGATTCATATGTAACTTAAAGTATGACACTTCATATCTCCAAGTTTCAGTTGGTGGATGCAACCCACCTTTGAAATATGTTTCTTCTTGGGGGCCATGATCCCATTTCCATGGTTAAATGTTAAACAAAAGACACACTTGAAACATATTAACCGACACATGTATTGATGATACACCCATTAAAATCAATTAAAGTGAAGCCCTGATTAATAGTTAAACCATGGTTTGTTGTGAAGCTACCCTGCAAATAGTGATAATGTGATACTTAAATGGTACCCCCCCCCCAATTAAACAGCCTTTTTAGGTGTTTATTAATCCAAGGATGATAACATACAACAACCAAAGCATGTAAGAAGTTTTTCACAGTTGAAGTTGAAACCATTATTTTTATGTATCAATATGTCATCAAACCTTTTTTAAAATATACATCGATACACTCCCATTAAATCAATGACACCTTCTGGCGGCTCCGACTGGCTCCCGGGATTCCCGCCTCAAAAGGCGCTGCCAGAAGTTCCATGGCCACCCCAGCGCCAAAAGACAGGAGATCCAGGGCCAAGACGCCACCTGGTGCGGGTCAGTGCTGGGTCAAGTGAAAAATGCTGTCTATGCTACTAGGGGCTAAATATGGATCAATTTCAGATGGGAACAGAATGGGATATAGTACAAGTGTGTACAAATTCTGGCGGTTTCGTAACATGGGTACCCCAAATCAGCCAAAAATCATCAAAAATCAACAGTGTTCGTATTGAAACCCATGGTGACGACTGGGGATCCGCCATTTTAAGCACCCCCCTCAGTGCCATCTATGAGATTCTCTCATTGCCAACTATCATCCCATCTTGGGCCGGCCCGGCCCGGCGGCCCGGCCATCTCCCCCGCCTGCACGAAGCATGCTCAGCAAGGACAAACGCAAACGTTCAGCTTCCATGTCGCTGGGGTAGAAGAAATTCAGCAAAGAACAGCCTGAATACCTCGCTGAAGTTCAGAATCTGATGGCTAGTCTCAACCCATCGAAAACAAGTCAACACGCATTCAAAATTCATCATAAACATGGAACCCACCATGCATTATATGATTGACGCAATTGGATATGGTTGAATGCAACAAAAACAACTGTTGGACAGATTCACATCCAATTGCCAGCAATTTGCCGCAAAAGACCCTTGAAACCTTTAGACCTGTAGCTGCCGCCAACTATGGGGATGTGCTGTTGGCACACGATCATCCAATTGTCTTCTTGTCATCGGAGGATCCAGTACCTCATTTTGCATGGTCTTATATATAAAAGATATTATTTAATATAAATATTTAATAGAAACGTAATATTATTACCATGAACTCCCTCACCAAACACTTCAATGGAAAATGCCGTACCGATGAAACATTACATCTCATTTTCCCACACCTCGATCTATGGGTGATTTTGCAGCCATCTTTGATTACCCCGGGCCTATGGGGTTTGCATCAATGGCAGCCTCACCGGGCACCATGACAGCCAGGGCCAGGGGGCTGGATGAGTTTCTGTGCGATGTTTTCAGGATCAATGACCTAGGTGTCCCAGCGAAACAGACATTCTTTCCAAATGTTGGTCATGGTCATGGCATGTGGTGAACCACCGGAAAGGGCCCATCTCATGAACCAAACATGAACCAACCGACTGGGGTCATGCTACCTCCTCACCAGAGCTTTGTTAGATCCTTGATCCAGCAAAGATTGTTGGTAACAATCTCTCCCAGTATATCCCCATCATGTTCGGTTTTATGTGGTTTTATACCTCACGTGGTCTGGTGGTTCAACCTCCCTGAAAACCATATTGCCGATTTGGGATCCTCCGAATTCTGAATGATTTCGAATTCACAAACCTGAACTGAACACTTCGTAAATTGGGAAACAAATCCCCTACTAAGCTCCTCACCCACAATGCGTCCATCTGAACATAGACTACCCCCACATCAATTGGTGAAGCAACATTTTTCCCCATCAAAATATTGCCATTTGGAAGGTATCTCCGATTTTTATACACACCCATGTATCAGTTCTAACCATTGGTCATCATATCTATCACATCCCAAGTTCTCCCCACTGCTTCTCGGGGTTCACCACTAAACACCATGATCCACCACTATCAACCATAACTAAACATCATTAACAACTACTGGTTGGTGGTTTGAACCCCTCTGAAAAATATTAGTCAAAATGGGATTATTGTTCCCAATATATGGAAAAATAAAAATATTCCAAACCACCAACCAGACTATTATTTGTTTTGTAAACATGTTGCACGATTATCAAACATGATTGGACATGATGAACCATCATTAACCACTATTGCTTTGCTGGATAACCACCACTACCCTCTGGTAAAGTAACATAACTATGGAACATCACCATTTTTCATAGCGAAATCAACTATAAATGGCCATTTTCAATAGCTATGTTAAATTACTAAAGGGTGTCGCCTACATTTTCATGGTTTGATCATGGCATTCCAGGCCTAGGCACTAAAGGCCATCGACTGCTCAAAGCAATGCGCTCGCCCAGGTCGCGCAATAACACGTTGTTTAACTCGCGCACCTTAAGTTTAACAGTTCTCCTTGATGGACCGATGACAAAGGATGCAGTTATAGTCCTGAACAGTTGTAAATGATTATAAATGGGAATATACAGATATATCATCAACTAGTTATAGGAGTGATAAACACATGTATAACTGTTAAGGGCCATAGCTGTGAGGTGTATCAGTGTGTTTTGCCAGCAAAAATGTCGTTTTAAATTGTAATGTACATGTGAATTTGGGGGCGTTGTTTCTTAAAAATGATTGAAATAAAATTTCACGCATTTTTGATTTGAATTCATAAGTTCACCTACCATGATTTGTAAACTATATCCCCAAATGTTTCGTGGTTAAAATCGAAAAAAACATATAAATGATGGTTAGGTCCCAAAATGTTGGTTAAAAGAAAACGAAAATCACAACAACCAATGATGATATTTGTTGATCACTGATCCCCATTTGATGATCCCATTTGATGTTTGATGATTTTGATGGTCAAAACAATGTCAAAACATATTAAAACCACCGAAAAAAAAACTGTTGATCATTGAAGGTTAGACCCCCTGTAATCATCAACCGATGGCGCTGTGATGCCCAGGCGCCGGCACGTCGCGCCCAGCCACGGCCAAGGTAACCCCACACTGCTCTGCTGCCGCGAGGCGAGCCAGGGCGGCCTGGCTAAGCAATAAAAGGAACATGTGGTCATAAAAGTAGGTGTAAACAAGGACAATTTGGATTTTGTCAACACAAAAAAAAATGAAGCAACAAACATGAAGATGTGAAGGCGGATGTGCCTGCAACATTTAGACACATGCAGTGGCAAATTTAATATGCAGTCTGGCCTAGTTGCTGACATGCCTTTTGATTCGCGTAATTGATTGTAATTGGCTGGAATGGAATATGTGGTGCGCAACGTGCTAATAGATTGAAACATATGTGGACAGTCGTGCTAACAGTGACATTGGCATCGATGACATTTCACATCATCACTGGCACACAAAGAATCGTATCTGACAGTTCCTTCTATACTGACGCATGATGTCTAACATCCTGACTGCCACTTGCATTGACCCCCGAATTTACGAACGCAGTGCTGTACTGTATATGCGGATGTATTAATGCGTGGCTCCAGCAAGCTAGTGACATGCCAATTGCCATATGCATGGAGAGGCGCGCTGGTAGTGGACGAATTTGGGTTTTAGCGGTTTTAGCGTATTATTGACCGCGGAAAGCAAGTGACAAACCAAATGAATATAGTCGAGCAGATACTATGCAATACACGTGCCTGGGCAGGTGCAGTGGCGGAGCGCTACACTTCACATCTGCCGCCATGGGTGCTGATGCAAAAAAAGGAAGCATGGCAGGGGTGCTGGCATATGTGTTGCCGTCGTGTGTGTAACATACAGTTGGAGGCAGCTGCAAGCATACGGTGTCTTGCCAAGCCATTCGGTTGCGCAAACCAAGCTTCTCAGCCATCCTTTGCAAGACGTGCGTCAACATTGATACAAGTCAGGACACTGCAGCATGCGAATGTGTCTGCAAAATGCATGGAGCACCCTGTGCAATCCTCCAGTCATTGGGTTTGCTGGCAGCCATTCATCTAAGTAAGTATGCCTCGTGGTCGGGAACAGTGTCTCAATCTCTGATTGCTTTCGGTACTTATCACCCTTCCAGTTTTGATAAGCATCCTCGTGACCCAGGTCCAAATATCATGACACTTTTGTGTTTTTTGGAAAATCCAGATTTGGGTTCAGTTGGTTTGCATCGTATTGTTGGTGTTTAAATCCCAAAGTCGGTGGTAATCCAACATGACATCATTGTGAGTGGTAAATTGTGGTGCAACCAAACATGATATCGGTCCCGAAATCTTGACCCAGGGTCCTCTATCAATGTGGACTTTAAGGAATCTCGAAATGACGTTGAGACTTTTCCAGATAGGTCGTGCCCAAATCGCGAAAGTTCATCTTTTGTTGGATATCCTCCTCTAACCTAAGCAAAATAATATCCAGTTTCATGCAAATTTCGTCAATTTTCGGATGTGAAAAAACATGGGGAAGTCCCACAAAAAACCTGCTTTCCCATGTTCCATTACAAAAATCTGAAACCAGAACTCCGAGGTGGCTTTGCCTGAACAAATAGGCAAGTTGGTCAGGCTCATGGTGGGGTTGAAGGGCTAGATCCACAGTTGGCAGTTCTCCCCGTCTGAAAATATAAAATTTATAATATTATCGTTATATATAAATATTCGTAAATATTTGTACATGTCTATATGGAAATTACAATTGTGTAGTATTGTGTACCTATACAATGCAAAACATATATGTATCTGTATGCATCGCCAGCCCCTCAAACATCATAAAACATAATATATATATATATACATATGATGGGGAGTCAAACATCTTATCTGGGTTGGAAAAAGTCCTCACTGGAATGGACTTTGACAGCCCGGTAGGCTAAGCGGCTAAACCCAACCGTCGCTTCCCAAATCTGGATCAAAACTAAGTGCATGTCGCATGTCCATCTGATGGTGTCCAATTCCTTGGGGTACCCCATTTTATCATCCATTTCTAGATGGGATTTTCCATTACCCATGACGGATCCCGTCACGGTGCTGGTTAGAAAAGTGCTAACATGACTGGGGTATATTGATGGGATCCATGGCACACCATATGGCAGCACCATGGGAGCTGCTGCACCGGTAAACCAAGCCATACCAAGCCACAGCTGCGCCCCTGATTTCCCTACAATACTTGGAGCAACCCAGGTGAAAACGTGAGGATATATAGCATAGCATCTGGTTTTTGTGGTGCAAGCATATATAACGGACTGCTATATATGTCCCCATGTTTTCACATTATCATCTGGTTTTTGGATCATCATGGCAAGCCATGGGAAAATAGAATGTTTATCATTGTTTTGGATCATTATAGCCATGGTAAAATACATGAAATACAATGTTTATCCATATCTGGTTCCATTCATCCAAAACTTTGCATGCTACCCTCCAGTAAACTAACATAGCAAACTGGAAAATGGACCATTGATTTATAGTTGAAACATGGCTATACTTGATTTATCCATAGCTCACCATGTTTCCATAGCTATAGTTGATTTACAATATATATACATATATATATACATATGTATAATATATACCTATATATATATGTATAATATATATATGTATAATATACATATATATGTATAATATATATATAATATATATAATATATATATATATTATACATATATATATAATCTAACATGTATAACCTGTAAAACCATATAGTTGAATTATCATCTAATATATACCGTTAGTTATACCATATAGTTAACATGTTCAACATGGCGATTTTTCCATGGCTCCCATCCTCGCCTGGTCGAAGCTTCTCCGTGCCTCCTCCGCCGTTTCTTCCGCCTGCTGCAGCGCCTGGTCGGCCGAGGCGCAGGCCTCCAGCGCATCCTGCGTTGGGCGCCATGGATGTGACTATTTGGAGGCTACCCCCACAATAACCATGGTTTATTTTCATCTCTGGAGTTGACATTATGTGAAAAATACACACAAAGTGAATGTATACGTTTTTCTTTATATGCTCATAATATGTCATATAAACAGTATTGACAGTATAGTATATATATAAATCATGATGTATATCTATGTTTAATATATGTTATGTTTAAGAGAAAGGACATATCAACCATCAACCATCTTGGCACTCGCTGGAATCCCCAGACCAGGTTCCCATGAAACCGTTCTCAATGATGGCTACCCTCTGGTAAACTGTCACATAGCTATGGAACATCACCATTTTTCATGGGAAAATTCACTATAAATGGTGATTTTCTATAGTTATGTTAGTTTACCAGAGGGTAGTTAGTGGAGGGGATCAAAAACATCCGAAGAAACATATAAACATATGATCAAGTTCGCTTGACAATCGTCTCCAGCGCATCCAAAATTCGACAATTTAAACTTGATACTAGGTAGTTTTTAATTAGCCCTTTAAGTATAAATGGCGAAACATCTTTGAAACACCGTCCAACAAATGAATTTATACAAGAATAGAGCAAACAACTAATATGACTATGATACATGATACATTGAAATTCAAAAGATAGGGATAATGGGGATAGTATGATTTTTGGACAACCAGAACTACGGGCAATAACTGGCAACACTGAAGATATCTCCAACCCGACAGGGACTCGGGAAACAACCACCTCGGGAAAAAGAAACAGTCGGAGCATCAAAGTAAAAACTGGTTTGGGGTTGAGCATGTTTAAATCGATGCCAAAAAACATCGGTCAATCAAAGTGTGAATAGTCATTCAATAGTCCTAAATCAAGATGAACAACAACAAAAATGTGTATCAAACATAATAATTATAACCTTGTGAAAATTTACCCTCTGGTAATTTAACATAGCTATGGAAAATCACCATTTTTAATGGGTAAATCAACTATAAATGGGCAATTTTCAATAGCAAACTGTTAGTTTACCAGAGGGTAAGCGCCATTGGCTCCATCTGCTCTCTTTAAAACCCAATTCAGTGGCATCCCTGCGATTCCCAGATCCATTGGGTGGCATTGGATCTTCGCAAACTTGGAACATGTCAAATCAAACAAAGAGGAAATACATACCCTCTGGTAAACTAACATAGCTATTGAAAATTGCCATAGAAATAGTGGATTTTCCCATTAAACATGGTCCATAGCTATGTTAAATTACCAGAGGGTAATGGGCACTTGGGCAACTAGCATTTCTCTCATAAACATCGGAAAGAATAACAGCCAAGTTCCCATTTTGTGCAAATTAATTATGTCGTGAGACTGCCGAATTTGCCGACCTGCCCGACCTCAATGTTCATCCCACAATCCATCTTTTCTTAGGATCAATCGAGTTGGATTCTCCATCTTTTCCATCAGGTTGATGGCTAATCAATGGTTAATCAATGGGTAATCATGGTTAATCATTATCCATTATGTGGGCATTATCCCACCAAATACTGGGTAATCAATGGATAATCAACGGCTTCATCAATGTCGGAACCACAACTGGTGGGCAAATAATTTGCCTCGGTGAATCACGCGTGGCTGGAAAATACCACGTGACCCTCTGGTAATGACTAACAGTTTGCAAAATTTACAAACATGGCCATTGAAATAGTGTTTTTTCCCATTCAACATGGTGATGTTCCATAGTTATGTGACAGTGGCCATTGAAATAGTGATTTTTTCCATATTTTTCCCATGAAACATGGTGATGTTCCAGTTCGTTATGTGACAGTTGACCAGGCCGGGTAGATACCATCATCCCGGCTAAAAAGCCTCCATGGCGTTCGGGGATTTCCCGGCTTGCGGTCTTGCTGCTTAAAGCCTTATTTTTTTCCTGGTTTAATAAGTTTAATTGAAACCTCTGCTATCATAGCTGGGTTATCATGACTCCACATCTCTACATATTTCTCTACATATTTCTCCTGTACTGAAAAACTTGTTGCTGGGGTTCTGCTCCAGCAATTTTAAGTCCAATTGAGGCGAGTTTGGCTGGGTCAATCCTTTGTGATTAAATCCATATGCTGAATGGCCCAATCTGAAAACTTTTAAATCATCAGTTTTGCAAGGGGTTTTCGAAAATACCTCAAGTATATCCGCCCGTGAATTTGGACCACACCTTCCACCTTATCCACATGAAACTATGGTTTTTTACCATCAAATATAGAGGTTTCCTGTACATTTTTCCATATTCCCATCATCCAATACTTCTTTGGATTTGTCCTGGTGACCAGCAGCCAGCTTCTGGCCCCACTCCTTCTCCTGCGTCCAACCAGCTTATTATCTGGTTGTCGACAAAATGGCTGGTGAATAGGATGTCCCATGCTGGATAGTGATAATCCCCTATATTAATATTATATATATATATATATACATATATATATATATATGTATATGCTCAGCCCCCCCCGACCCCCCAACACTACAAAAAACCTTTTTGTACACTGGCCGTTCGGTGTCTTCATGCGTTCAAGCTTGCAGGAACCAATCGTTTAACCACTGCAGCTATGAACATACTGGGTCTGAGGATCAAGACTGTGTGTTCCAATTTTGAAATGTTCGGCCATGTCCTAGATAAAAACACACGCATATATATATGATAAATGCTATGTATATACTTACACATATAATATATAATACATATATATATATATATAATATAATTCATTATATACTATATATGTTTTACATATTATATGTATAATATTGTATTGTAACATGTTATATTACATTATATTACATTATATTACATTATATTACATTATATTACATTATATTACATTATATTACATTACATTACATTATATTACATTATATCATATAATATTATATTATGTAATATTGAACTATATTGTGTTATATTATGTTATATTGTACTATATTATATTGCTATCATATCATATCATATCATATCATTTTATGTCGTACTATATTATATTTTAGCGTTGTATTATATACAATCATATCATACTATATATTATTATATTGATTATGTATACTATATTAAATATAAATACATATATATATCTATAATATCTACATATATATATATATACCGACAGGGGTTTTGCCCCCTCCTCATATGGGTTTCACCATCAACTCCAGTTTGTCAACTTCAACAGGCTATAATGAGCTTGGATAAGGCTTCCAATGGGATCATGGGAATGTACATCGTATTGGCTTGTCCAAAAATGATAGATACCTGAATACCCATCTGGTTGGTGGTTGACCTACCTCTCTGAAACATGATGGACTTCGTCAGTTGGGATTCGGGATGATGACATTCCCAATACGATGGGAAAAAATGAAATAACAAAAAAAACATATTCCAAACCACCAACCAGCCATAAAATCATAAAGAGTACCCTTTGGTAAACTGTCACATAACTATGAAAAATCACCATTTTCAATGGGTAAATCGACTATTTCTATGGCCATGTTCAATAGCTATTTTGACATAACCAGAGGGTCTCAGATTTATTGGATCAACATGAAATATCCTGGGATTCACGAGTGCACCGCCAGTCGACTGGACACTTCCCCTCTGGTAAATTAACAGTTTGACCCTGGCAGTCATCAGGGTTGGAAGACTAGTTTCCATGAAAAATTAGTGATTTTCAGGGTCAACAAGTTAATTTACCAGGGGGTAGATAGAGTCATTGTGATGGTTTCTATCACCATGTTGTATTTGTTGCTTAACCATGCTTAACCCCTTCTTGAAAACAAACATTCCTCCGTCAAAGAAATATGATGAACAACCAACAAATAAATATCAAGGCTTACCCGGCAAGGAGCAAAGATGGGAACATAACAAATAAAACAAACATCTGACCCAACCACCATACATATTCAACAAGGAAAGTATCTAAAATGTGAACATCACAATCAACATCACAATATCCCACAACTAACCTTTGATGATGCCAAGTCTTTCAAGAATGCTTGCTGGCGAACGTACCAAAATCACTTATGTTTGCTGGGCATTTTCCTTCACCAGGGCTGCTCTTGCTGCTCTTGCTGCTGGTCAAATCCCTCTGAACTGGATAACTCTACATCCCCAAGGTTTGCTCCTTCAACCCCAAGTCAGCTGTTCAGCTGTGTCTGAAAATAGAAAAAACAAAACAATTCCAATGAACGATTCCGGTAAAATGCTAAGCTGCTAGTTCTACTAATTGGTGGTTTCAACCCCCCTGAAAAATATTCCATAGTCAGATTGGATCATCATCCCAACTATTGGGGAAAATAACAAATGTTCCAAACCACCAACCAGTCTAGGATGTTCTAGGGGATCTACCATGATCTACCCCGTGTTTGGATCAACTGCCTCCCAGCAAGTTCCACCAGGTCCCCTCGCGCGCAGGCGCATCTGCATCTTGGCTTTGGCGAAGATCATCTGCGCCGCCTGGTGCTTTTTCAAACAGACCTGGCCGCACAATCCCCGGCCAAGAGCTGGGAAGGTGAAGACGTGCAAAAAATATATGGAGTCAACTGAAACGTGTTCGGAAACTCGGAAACCCCATAGGAAGATAGGACACCAAATCACGTGAGCGCACCATGTTAGTGGGAGGATTCATAGTATTTCTTCTATTTGTTGTTATCTTCTTGGGCGGCTAAAACTACACTGGCCATCCACGGAAAGACTACACTGGACATTACCGGTACCCTCTGGTAAACTGCCACATAGCGAACTGGAAAATCACAATTTGTCACGGGAAAATCAACTATTTCAATGGCCATTTTCAATAGCTATTTTGACATAACCAGAGGGTAAATCATCACAAATCATCCCCTGAACCTTCTGGGAGATCGTTTTCGGACCATTGATCACATTGTTGGTGGGGTTGAAACCATGAACCGTATGCATTACATCTCAATACGTTGTGCTTGACACCTCCAACATTGAATCCCGAGAAAAAAAAACACATCCCAACTTCCAACTCATTTGGGCGTGTCTGAAGATCTGAGAGGAACCACCATGTTTTTTCATGGATGAAACATGATAAAAACCATCAGTTTCCCATCATTTTCCCCATATGTTTCTCATCATTTGCCAACATCTTCTCCTATTTTCCTAGGTTTTCCCCATGACCGGCTGCCATTTTAACGTGCGTTTTCGCACCTCATAAGCCTCTTCCACGTCATGCATCTCTTCGCCTTGGACGTGAATCTCTGGGAATCTGGGGGTTTCCAGAGTCGGGGAATAAAGTCTGGTTGGTGGTTAATGGTGATTAATGGTGATTTAATGATGGTTAATGATGATTAATGATGGTGAATATTTGCTGGTTGGTGGTTGACTCTGGAAATGATGGAATCTATGGTTAATGGTTGATGATTATCTGTGGTTAATGGTTAGAAATTATCTATCTGGTTGGTGGTTTCAACCTACCCCTCTGAAAAATGATGGAGTTAAAGTCAGTTGGGATGATGACATTCCCGACTGAATGGAAAAATAAGAGCCATGTTCCAAACCACCAACCAGTAGTAATATGTGAAATGCCCCAATTACTGGATTAGCATACTTAGTATACTGATCTGATCCAGTATGGATGAGTATAGTGATACTGCTAGAAGTACAACTTTCTGCATGTTTTTGCGGGTTGCTGTAACCAAATCCTGGTGATTTCTCTGGCCACAAGAAACATTCTGTGTTCAGTTGAGTGGTAGACACCACTTCTATTCCTGCGAGAGCCCACCATGTGCCAAGGTCAAAACATGCCCAAGGAGCGGTCAGTCATCCTTGCATGGAATCCTTATGATGGGCATAACCTCTGGTAATGACTAACATAGCGATTAAACATTGCCATTTAGTTCGTTGATTTCTCCATTATAAGGGGTTAACATTTGAGGTTAACACCCTTCTTGGTAATATTGCTGCCAGTGAAAATGGTCATTTAGTTCGTTGATTTACCCATTAAAAATGGTGATTTTCAACAGCTATGTGGCAGTTTACCAGAGGGTAAACTAACCCCCTATTCATGGGGAACCATCCCCCAATGGCTCAAATTCAACTCTTGCTGGTTGTAAGTCTCATAAAATATCCCCAGCAAATATCCCCAGCAAAATCCCACTTGTTAATGGTTAAACATGGTTAAACCATGTTTTGACCATGTAAAAAAAAAGCTTCGTCTAAAAAGTGAGGTACCCCATTCCGCTGATTGATGGCCGTTTGGGGGCACACCTCATTCTCAAACACACTCAACATGTTAATTGTTATGATTAAATACCCCAGAAAATATTTAAACTATTAATGCCAACACCGGATTAATAACCCCCCCCAGAAGGTAGGGGGGGTACCTTCTGACTGGTTTTCTTGACCACCCCTTAATAATAAGCAACTCTGAACCATAAAACTTTGGATATGGCTTACGTCAATTAGATCTTAATAGAATTCCATTGGATTTGTTAAAATCTCATGGATCAGGAAGGTGGTTGATTAATCAGGGGCAAACCGTGGTTATTATTAATGGGGGACATGGGCTCATGGGGGGTACCCTTTGGGAGCTATCCAAACTGATGATTTGTATAAAGATTTTAATTAGAAATCGATCATTTGGGGAATAGTTGTTTTTAAAATTTTTAATGATCAACTCAAACCTGAAGTATAACAATGATGATAAAAAAAAAAGGTAGAAAACAATTTGAAATAAATAGAATTGGAAATAAAAATTGTTAGATAAACAAATGGATTTCAGCACTGGTAGTTGATTAATCTGGGGCAGGCCAAACGGTTTATTAATCAGAGGGGACCACCTGTTTTTAAATTACATTTTTTTTTGGGGCAGTGGTGGTTGATTAATCGGGAGGGTTTTATTAATCCTCACTTGGCATTAGTAAAAACTATATGTATATGCATAAATGTTACATCCAAGTAATATTTATCTAATCTTGAAGTTTTGTATCTATATAATATATATATATATACCATCTGGTTATTTAACATAGCCATGGAAAATCCCCAAAATAAATGGAGGTTTATAGCTGGGAAAATCATCTATAAATGGGTTATTTTCCATGGCTATGTTAGTCATAACCAGAGGGTATATAAGATTATACATACCATCTGGTAAACTAACATAACTATGGAAAATCCATTTTTTTATGGGAAAATCACTATAATTGGCCATTTTGAATAGCTATGTTTGTTTACCAGAGGGTATCCCATAACTTCAGTGATGGGAGGATTGATTTCTTGTGTCTTCAGTGGGACGACCACCAAAAACGCCCAAAAAAAGAACGCCGAGGCGCTCTGTCGTCGGAGCTCTTGGGTGCGGAGCTCGGAAAGATAGGAGTCATAGTCCTCACCACTGAGAGGAGCAGCCATTTCTGGATGTTTTATATATATATATATATTATCTGTAGATATATATATATATATTATATTATCTATAGATATATATGTATATTATATGTATAGTAATCCCACTAACCACAGCCTGGTGGCCTGGTGGCTACAAAAAGTTTTATTGCTTAGCAACTGGGAGGATCACCACTATGAGTTACCACCTTAGGTGGCTAATTTAGAGTAACCAACTGGTGGTTTGAAATCCCAAAACGGGTGGTTGATATATAGTAAGTGGTTAGACATGGGTAATATACCAGTATCATTAAGCGGTTCATATACCAGATAGATTTACGAACTTACCAGTAGATGGTTCATACACCAGATTACTGGTTACTAAGAATATGGTTTAACAGATTAATATCTGAATATTAATCCCAGTCCCATTTTGTTTATATTCAGTTGCTAACCACTAACAATATGATTAACATGAATGGGAATGGGATTACTAACTAGAAACAAACCCTGACAGACCCATCTTGGCTCTGCAACATCCACCAAGTAACTATACTGTGGATGGGCCAACGAAATCCTGCACCAGTTGAAAACGGTGGTAAACATCCCTTTGTTTTTTTGGTTTCAACCATCCCAAATTGGTGGTGCAGGATTTCGCAACCATCTTGATCCAATTCTGGGGCAATTTGAGACAACTCGGAGAATGCGCTTTGTACCAACGGGTTCACCCAAGGTATGAACCAACAGGTATTCAGCAAAGATCACTGTATGCTTTTACTCATCAATCACCCAAACATATCATATAATATCATATTTGTTCTACAGTTATTCGAACATATCCAATATTGCTAATAATCATATGTACTAGATATAGATATAGTATAGTATATGTAAAATTATATTATATTATGTTCTGTTAAATTCTGTTATACGATAGTATGTTATATCATGTTCTATTATATTGTTATATTATAATATGATATTAGATTATGATATATCATATTATAATACAGTATATTATATGTTGTATATATATATATATCCACACCATCGTGTACAATACATGTGTTGGACATTTCCACTGGACCAGTATGGATGGGCTCATCGTACGTCTCCTCCAAGAGCTCATCGGTGCGTTCCAGGTCCTTAGCGGTTCCACCGTGGGAAATCCATGGTGGATGTAGTTTCATCCATATAAATCAGGGATGGATGGGGATGGGATTCATAATTTAACATAGCTATGGTATAGATGGCCCATTTATAGTGGATTTTCCCATTGAAAATGGTGATTGTCCATAGTTGTGTGACAGTTTACCAGAGGATATACTCCAGTATCAGTCGCAGTTATGTAACAGTGGCTGATGATTAGTTGATTAGCTACCATCTGGTTATTTAACATGGCCATGGAAACTCCCCAACATAAATGGAGGTTTGTAGCTGGGAAAATCATCTATAAATGGGCCATTTTCCATGGCTATGTTAAATAACCAGAGGGTAATTCCATCATTTTTTGGCAGTCCCTAAACATCCGTCCCTGCTGAGAAGCTAAAAAAAACCGTTGCCTTGACCCCGAAAATCAGGTGAAAAAACTTCGATGCTGGATCCCTGCAGATAGAAATATTAGCTTGGTAAAGATCACATGATGACTGGATCTCAATCATCGTGACAATTTTCAGTAGTGAAGTTCCTGTTAAAGTCCCAAAAAAAAAACGTCAAACCTGCAAATAATCCCAATAAGCCTTAGACTTGGTAATTAAAACCATAAGATTGATAAAACCATGGCTTCTATTTTCGCAATAATCCCAATAAGCTTGCAGTAACTATAGACATTGATAAAACCATGGTTTCTTGCACAGTTCGGCCGATTCAAGCCACCCAGGACTTTAAGAGCTCCGCCAAGTCCTAGCAGCGACGATGATCCCAAATATGCCAAGTATCCTCTGGTAATGACCAACAGTTTGCTAGAGAAAATGGCACAGTTGCTTTACCGTTTACTGAAACATGGTGATTTTCCATAATGATTTTAGTTTACCAGGGGGTATAAACCCTAGCCTATAATTCCTGCTTCAGATTCTTAATCAGCAGGGGTTTGAATCACTGCTCAATGGATGTTTGTTTGCAATGGGAATGTATGATTCATGCCGTTAATCAACATTCCGGGGGTTTACCCTCTGGTAAACTAACATAGCTATTGAAAATGGCCATAGAAATAGTGGATTTACCCATTAAAAAAGTTGATTTTCCATAGGTTTTTGCATGTTTACCAGAGGGTATCTTGAACTGACTTTCTTTCCAACGGGATGTATCTCATATCTACATTTACGTCCTGCTACGTCCTGCGAACCGTCAAAATGGTCCCATAAAAATAAAAAAAACAGTTGATCAAGACATCGGAGTCACCGAACAAAAGAGACCTGGAGTTTAACCTATCTTTTTTGGGGGGGCACCTGTGGAATTTTATAGGTTGACCTACCCCTCTGAAAAATATAAGTTCGTCAATGGGAAGGATGACAACCCATATATTATAGAAAATTAAAAATGTTTGAAACCACCAACCAGTATAACATTATCATGAATTATTGGCAAAAAAAACATCTCACAACAAATGTATGAAACCGTGATGTAATATATAAATTTATAACGCTTCCATCAATCAACTATATACATAATATATTTATATATATATATAAACAAAACAGTACCTTTGGCCATTGGATTTTGTTTTTATCTTATATATCGAAGTAAATGCTTTGGTTCAGATGGTTGAACTCCCAAGATTTTTACCATCCCCTGGCACAATTTTCATGCTTGGCGCAGGGTTTCCTGAAGTGATGGGCCCTTTCAAAACAAGGATGGCTGGGAAAACGTATTCACAAAACTGCTACAGTCTCAACCCCAAAACATCCGGAGATATCGAAGAAACCTGATCACCTCGGATATATGTATAAATGACATTAAATGACAGTTCTCAGAAGGGTTATGTTCAAGGATCGCTGCCCTTTAAACGTTGCAGATGAAACCCACTACAATTCTGTTATGGTCCTTTACCGGTTATAAGTCAGTTATAAATTGTTGTGGTCCCTTACCAGTTGTAAATCAATGATAAGTTACAAACCCATGTATGGAATGGTAACCCCCATGCTTACCACTTATAACTGGTATACAGGGTTTTAACTGTACAGTGAAATACATGGCAATTCACACTTCCATGTTAACAATCCATGGTTTTGGTTTCCATTTTCCTCACCGGCCATGTTGCTGACTTCCATGACTTCCACAAGGGGTTTTTTTTCCGCATTCGTTTTGCCCCCCCCAGGGTTTTCTTGATTTTTTTTGCCTTATGAATAGTTCCTGGGAAACTATCTGATGCTTCACCATTTCTTTAAATAAAGGACCACCCTCTAGTAAACATATCAAACAATATGGAAGATCCACCATGAAAGTCTACATCATTTCCATGGCAAACCCCTGGAATCCCCCGCCCTCTGCGACTTCGTCGCGTCGCCCTTGATTTTGGCCAAGGTCGGGCAGTTGTCTCCTTCCTGGAGATAGGGCTTCTTCTTGCCCGCCTTCTTGACCCTGGCCGCCCGCTTCAGGTTCTTCTGCTCCTCCCTCTTCGCGGCCTGAAACTCCGCATGGGAGACCTCTTCCAGCGGAGGGGCATCCGTTCTCGGGGCTTGCAGGCCCTTGCGCAGTTCCAGCTTGCGCGCCGCTTGCGTCTTCGTAGACGTCTTTTTGGCACGGCGGCTCTTCATCATGGCCAGCGTCTGATCCATGACACACGGTGAAAGTGCGCTGGGGGAGGTGGATCTTGAAAAAGAAATGGCTGCGGATGCGGGAGTCATCATTCACGCCTACATGACCACACAAGAGGCATTTTCATGTCTACATGACCACACGGGTCCTGGGTTTCCATAGCTTAGAGGATCATCCCACTTAGTAAGTGGCTAAAAACTTTGGTTTTAACAACTTCTTACTTACCCATACCCCAGGGCCGATCATATAAATGATGTTAGCCAAGCGCCGTTTTCTGCTGGCACATGCATTGTCGACGGCACATGTTCCTGCCTCAAAAAGATCCTTTCTTTGAGGACAATTTGGAAATTACCACCACTTTGAACCAAAAACACCAAAAATGTAGACTGTTTTTCAGCGTGCAGTACGACGATGACATCCCTAAAGTACACCAGTTTTCTGGTGTGCAAAAAAATCAGGTGATGGTGTGTCCCCTTGACACCCTCCCAATGGACCCTACACCATTCAAAATTGTTTTCACATACCAGAAAAAGTTTCACAATTGGACCCGCCGACCTTGCTCGAGTGCTTGAAAAAAACATAGAAAATGTTATCGGTGAGCTCAAGAATACCAGATTTGCATGGAATGCGATCATATGTGAAGCTTCAGAAATTTCAGGTGGGAACTCCATCTTCCCCATATTCCAGAAATACGTGATTCCATGCCATTTTAGCTATAAATAAAAAACACCTGCTGAGGCGACAAAAATGCAAAATTCATTTCGCTTCCCCAATATGCGGTGCCCGTTCTGGAGCGCGATGATTTCTGTGGTGAATGCGATAACACCTGTGGAGTGCGATGACGCCTGTGGGGTGCGCAGGTCCTTACCAAGCGCGTTAATTTTTGAATAGGAAAAAGTCTAGAAAGGCCAATAGAAAAAGCCAAAAATCTGCCATTCCCAATCCCAGCCCAAACCTTGACAAACACGCCCGTGTTTTTTGTTTTCTGTTTCACACCTTACAAATTTCACTGGACAAACCAGTCCCTTCACATTGAGCTGAAATAAGTTATAACATACCATAACGTACCAAAGCCAGGTCTGGAGTACGATGAGAATTGAGTATGCGACGATTTTCTGAAGATGGCAATATATGGCAATGTTGACTTTAGATTATCCCATCTTTACATGGGTTATGACCCCAGTTGAGCAGTGTGAAATAAATCCCCCTATCATTCCATGAAATACTGGTTGGTTTTTAGGGATTCTGCGTTCTTGGATTATTGTAATCCCAATTTTTTTGATAGTACGAACCCCCAACTAGGGGTGTCTTGCCACAGCTCAGTTACCAAGCCGAATGATCTTCGGGTATCTCCAGTGTCCTCGTTGCACACGTCTCCTGGACCCTGTCCATGCTCGTCCCCTGCGCATGGGGAGATCGAAAACCCGAGATGGCTGAAAGTGTCCTTAAAATCATCTGGTTGGTGCTTGACCTACCCCTCTGAAAAGTGATGGAGTTAAAGTCAGTTGGGATGATGACATTCCCAATATGATGGGAAAGATAATCCAGTCATGTTCCAAACCACCCAGATGATTTGACCACCTGGAATAGTTGAATTTCATCAATTCGAGGGGTCCGACAAAAATGCAATAAGGTTTCAGTGCCAAAGCATCGGTTTCTTTTGTTTTTCTCTGTGGTTTTTGTTGGTATTCAAACATGAGAATTCAACATGATCGCTGCACACCAAGCGTTTGCACAAAACGGGTCCTCATATCCTTAGACATGCTCAAGTCGCTACGTAGGGCCAGCGATTGTTGATTTTGCACAACAAAATCAATACCCTAGAACCCTGATCCCTAAAACCATAAAACCATAAAACCCTAAATCCTGGAAGTATTAAGTCAAAATCACTGTAGCCAGTAATTTTCTTCCTTTGGGAACAAATACATCACGTTGTTTGATTCGTTGGGGGTAAGATTTGCTAGCCGTTGTTGGCGTCTCAAAATAGGGTACCCCAAAATCCGCTGGTGAAATATGTCCCCTTGATGTCCCCATGGATACCCCAACTAGATTGGTCTGTTGGACAAAAGGCTGCCTCCAATGCCAATGAATTAAGATCTATTAAGATCTATTAATAGATCTATTAAGATCCATTAAGATCTATTAAGATCTATTAATAGGAACACACTTCCTTTCAAAGGACTGTTAGAACAAAAATCCCACGACATTCCCAACTGGTTTCCCTTCATTCCCAGTGGCTCAAGCGTGGGTCTGCACCGGCTTCAAGTAGAAGCGGCAGAATGGAAGATCTGTTGCCTGGTTTTTTCCGAGTTTCACAGGCTGGTGCCCCAGTGAGCTAAATCGCTAAGTTGGTGACGTCCAGTTTCAAACTGGTTTATAGGTGATATATCGAACTGGTTTTCATGGGAGTATAAGCAAATAACCAATTTATAACTGCGGGGGCACCACCTTGCAGGCTTAGATGGGGATAGTCAGCTCATAAGGATAACATTTCTCAGAAATGGGGGGGCAACCAGAATGGGAACACCAAAACCAAGGTTTTTTGGAATACAGTGCACAACAAACACTGTCCAACAATTGAGAATTGTGCTCTAGTTTGTGGTCAAAAAACATCATGATAAGCGATTGGATTTGAGAGATACCATGTTTTCGTGATAATCATGTATATATACCTGTATATATATATATATATGGGGACTCATATATATATATATATATACATATCCAGATTTGATTTGAGTATGACACAAAGAGTAGCGATTTCTGATATTTCTTTTGTCAGGAGGCAAATTAGATGATGGTGCCCATTTTGACCCATGTCTCGGTGATATTCCCTTTAAAACATATGAACACATCTCTATAAAAACAAGGGATTTCCAAGTGCCATTTTTTGGTTACCAGAGGGAAAGTCATCTCAAAAAGTGCGTCTAAAATCCCACATGTTGAGCTTGTAGCATTTAGCTTCTGTCCTGCATTTTTTTGGGGATGTCGTTGGGATATCACCAACAACATGAAGAAATTGATCAAGGATGCAGCTTTTGCCATCAATCTGTAATTCTGGGAAAGAAACTCTACCAGGGATGTCAAGAGAATGTATCCAGTACTAAAAATAGGGGTAACCTGGTTGGTGGTGTTCAACCCACATGATGCAATTGGGTTGAGTCATCCAAGGTCTAGATGGAAAAGGCAGTTGAATTTCATGACATCACCAAGCAGTTGCTGGGTCCATGTTCAACCTTTAAACCCTAAGCCTAGGATTGAAATCTTGAGTCTCTAATATCTTCAAGTGTCCCCTGAAGATCTAAGATAATGTGGGTAACAAATTATAATAAACTATCCCCCAGTCATCACCATTTTTAAAGGGGGTATGCTTACCATTCCAAGTCATGGGTATTTATGACATTGTTTTTTCCCACGTTATTAACCACTATAAACCAACTAATCACCACTATTAACCAACTATTAACCACTATGAACCACTATTAACCAACAATATACCAACTATTGACCACTATTAACCAACTATTAACATCTATTAACCACATGATTCCCAGTTCTATAGATCGTATTTTTTCCGCAAATTTGCAGGGGCCAAGATGCTGTATGCTGCTCGCCACAAAGGCGTGCGATTGAACTCGCCTCTGCTATTGGGATTGGCCTGGCAATACTTGGGTGAGGTGATCTATGGAAACAATGCAAACATATGGGACTGTGTCAAAACCTTGTACCCCTGGTGAACATCAAAATAGCTGGTAAATGGATGTTCATCCCACTAGAAATGGTATTTATAGGTATTGATCCATAGCCATATATCGGGGTACCCAATAAATCGGAAAACAGGAAGGATTATCACAGATGATGTGCCCTGCATGATTCCCAAGTTTTCAATATTTCTATCTACTTGGTAGTTGCTGTAAACACTGTAAACAGTGGTAAACAAGTGTTGTCACTTCCACCATACGTGGCTGACTCCACAAAACTCCTCCAAACACTCATCACGAGTGGCTGATTTCATGACAGTGACAGCCCATTCTTACAATGCTACTATACACTGTACCGTCTGGTAATTTAACATAGCTATGGAACATGGTCCATTTATAGTTAAATTTAACCAGTAAAAATGGTGATTTTCCATAGCAAACTGTTAGTTTAACAGAGGGTAAGCGAATTCATCATTAGTCACCATTAATCACCATTAATCCCCATTATTAACCATCATTAATCACCATTAATTACCAATTATCAACCAGCAGTGACATTTTCGCACACATTGGGGTTACAGGGCTGGAAACATCCCACTTGGAGCTGTGGCACCCTGGAAACCGCAAGTGATATAACACCATCAAATACCCCGGTTATAGAATAGGTTGTAATCTTCTATACATGTACAATTACATAAAGATATATATATATATAAAATATATATTAGATATATAATGATATATATATATATATATAAATATTATTTATATAATACATATATAAAACAAACATAAACAAACTACAGTATAAATCACTTACTCACTGGGCGATTATATTCCTTCTAAAAAAAACGCATGCATCATCTCATCATCTCCGACATCCTGCCGGTTGGATGCGCCGGAACGTGAGCCTTGCGGTCCAAGAGCAGCTGGAGCAGCTCCGTCTTCCCCGCAGCGGCTGCTTCAGACAAAGGGGTAATCCCCTGTGCGGCTGCGTCCACCGGCAAACCTGGCGAAGGGACGGAGCTCCAGTGGAAGCCTCTTAGAGGGGAAATTGATGGAAATTGGCTAAACAAAACAGCTCAAAAACAAGTGCCAGTGATACAAATATAGCTCCCAAAACTGAAAACGCTGGCTGATTGTTTTTAGGTGATGCTCTCATCGGCGAAAACGCATGGTGTTCAGCAGCCGAGGGTTAACATTATAGTTATTATAGAAAATGGACCTGGGTAACATATGACGGTTTTTTTTGTTTAACCGTGTGGCAAACCCAACAACAACGCTATCACCAACAACTATAGGTGTAAACGGCGCTGGCCACTTGCAGCGACCCAACCGTGGTTGGTGTTGATCCAGCTGGCACTTGTCATTCCTACCCGCGCAACGCGGTGTCATCATGGCCATGGCTAGCTGGGAAATCCCCAGCTAGTAAATGTAGGTTATAGCTGGGAAAGTCACTAAACTAGATGGTCGGATTTTCCACCAAACCATGTGGTTTTAATGGGAACAAACATCCATAAAAGGCGGATGTTCCGGCAAAGAATGTTTGATTACTGATTGGTGATCGCCATCCAATTTTTGGGGACGAGAATTTGGAAGAAGTTGTAATCCACTGATCACAGTCTGCATCATGCTACTGCATCCATACAGTGCTACTGGTGCGCATCATGATGGGAACCCGAACTGCAGGATTTGCCAAACCCTTGCTAGAAATAAACTGATGGATGGAACCAAGTATATATGTACTGCATGTATTGGCTTGAAAAGGTCTCAAAAATCCCGTGCTCATTTCTCACATCATTGCTTCGCCTTGTGCATTAGATTCGTCATGATTTCTCTAAATATGGGCATCTTACATGTTCCGTTATCTTCCAGCATCAACATGTAGGTTTGCCCAGAAATAAGAAGTATACCTCAACATCCCATGGTGTGTCACTTTTCCCCCATCACACTGGCCATGAATTGGGGTATCCCCCATTTTCAAACACACAGAAAATAATATGAAGTTGGTTAGTTGTAACATATTCCAAATGCCAAAAACATATCATGGACTTGGTCATTATATTTTATCTCCATGAAATGGATTTATCCAACGACGTTCGATCACTTGTAAACTGAGCACGTCCATACCCCTGCAACAGCTGCTGCGGAAATCGCGCCCCAACCTTTCTCGAGAAACTTCAGGACCATCTCCTCCTTCCCCTCGAAAGCGGCTTCCAGCATGGCACGTGTGTCCTTGGCAAAGATTGGCAAAGGGTACTCATATCAAACCAGGATTGCTTAAACCCAATTTCTTAATATGGGGAGTATCACTTGTTGAACTGAACAAGGGCCAAGGGGGACCCTTTTTCGGACAAAAACATGGGGATCCTAGAAGGATATGGGGGTTTCTGGTCCTGGACATCAGTTTACACCATCGATCAGTTGAGATTTGGGGAAAACGGCGAAAACTTGGTGAGAGGTCTCTGTCGTGATGGCTGGAAGATCATTTGTTAGAATCCCTATTTGAACAAATGCTGTTTAACGGTTTAGTCATGTCATGTTTATAAGATACATTCACAAAAGATCTTCCTGGCGTTCTCCCAACCGCACCGCGCCCCAAGCCGAGTCACAGCAAGCCGCTCCTGCGCCAGTTTCCGTTTCTGCTCTTGCTTAGCGCTCTCCTGTTCCGCACGCCGCCGTTCGGCCTGGCAATTCTCCAAGGTGATGGGAAGCGGGGGAGATAGGTCGAAGGTGGTGTCCCAGTTTGTTAGTTAATCTATGTTAATTTCGTGTATATTGATGTTTGCTGTGTCCAAGCACTTGCTTTGAAAACCAAATGTCGGAAATCATGTTTGGCCACCTCCAGTTTTCTACTTTCTCAAAATGTCGAAAATTCTGGGAAAATAAAAGTAATACGCAAAACCAGCACCTAATATCCTTTGTTCGATGTGTCCCCATTTTTCAATTTTCTCATTTGTTTGTGGTTTCTTCATCTTCCAGTTACCAACTGCAATGAATTCCTCTGCGGTTCCTATTGTTTCTGTATGTTTTTCTGATTTTTATGGAGGTTTTTGCAATTCTCCACGATTCCCGAGGAAAAAACAATTTAGGTTCCCAAAAAAAAACCGGAGTTGTGCTGAAAATTCTGGAAACATGAAAATGTGCAAAAAACTCGTGAATATCAGGGGAAAAAATGGCAATGAATCAGGAAAAAGTAGGAAACCATGGAAATTTTTAAAAACATTGTAAAAATCATGTTTTTTTGCCCACCAATGTTTTACCTATTCAATTTTGGTGGTCAAACCATGTCAAACCGTGTCTTTTAACATTTCTTTCGAAACTTACAGGGTGCGTCTGTAATTCAAGCATCATTGCAAACATACATGCATACACATACGCTGGTATACGCGTGGTGTACGCAAGGCTTTCCTGGTATGCGCGCGGTATCCGCTGAGATGCTCCTTTGGGTCCGCAGTAACATATCTATGCATTGTTTCAATGTATTTTCCCAATTTTGCGTTTTTTTTTAATTTTGGTTGCGTTAGTTTTCTAAGTTGTTTATTCCAAGTTGGGGTTTTCTATCGATAGCATTTGTTTTCAAGACTTTTGTTCCAAGTCGAGGCTGCCATTTCGGTAGCGTTTGTTTGCAATGTTTTTTTCTCCTATAAATTTATGAGAACATATTTCCTCCAGAAACATGTTGCATAAATAATAGTAAAACGAAACAAAACATGAAAACGATAGATCTTCCAGGTATTCCATTGTATCTGTTGTTTGCTGTTTTTTTTGGTGCATGGCTTCATCCTGCAAAGGTTCCTTTGGGTCTTGGATTTTCACCCATAGCCATATAACTCCAGCTATCTCCGCCTTCAGGGCAGCTAATTCGGAGGCCCGCAGTGCCTCGGCCAGCTGCCTCATCGAAGAACCAAAGGCACGGTTCAAGAACCGACGAACCATATATAGTTAATCATATTTGGAGGTTTCCTAAAAGGGGGGTACCCCTAAATCATCCAATCATCCATTTCAATAGGATTTTCGATTGTAAACCATCCATTTTGGGGTCCCCACATTTATGGAAACTCCCATTTGGTCATGAAATATTGGTTTATATAATAGTGGTTAATCATGCTTAATAATGGCTAATAATGGTAAATAATGCATGATTCTATGATATTGAACAACAATACGTATGGGTTTGTCTGAAAATACACCAAAATCCCATTGTGCATTATACGTTTCCCATACTTTCCCCATTAAATGGCCATTTGGAAGGTTGTCATGATATATGATGGGATTTTGAATGATTTAAAATATGAACATATGAACATATGTGTGTATAATATATATATATATATGCTCAGCGACACCACCTACAACCGGCATGTTTTCATGCCTGTGCATGCTATGGTTGACCATATGATGTATATCTATATATATATATATATATTTAAATATAAATAAACAATATAATACATATACACAATATATATATATACATATACATATGACAATGCTCTATGTGTGCAATGTTTACCAACATTTACCCAAAAACTTACGCAAATGTAGGTAAATATTCCGTAGATGGAGAATCTATATATATATGATGATACCTGGATTTTGCATATGGTACTTATTTCTGCCGCTGCTCAAAAACACTAGAATTGTCGCCGTTCTTGCAGAAAAACGCCGTTCCTGAAAATAAATCCCGTTGTGTGAGAAATTGTCAGCCCACGTGGTCGGGTATTTTCTCCGTTTGGTCGGGCATTTTCGCCGCTGAAAAACGGGTTTGGCATCAATATATCAGAAGAAACTCTGGTTTGCCCAAAAAGGTCGTTCTTATGCAAAACCTATTTATTGGGCAAACGGCAGAAATTAAGCACCTTTTGAAGAGGTAGGTATATGGATACAACTAACCAACTTCCATGATTTGGGGTGTGTCTGAAACTGGGGTACTCCCACAAGACCCATGTCAACCAGGAACATGATCATAAACCACTGGATGTTGAGACACGATATTTTCAGACAAAAGATACATATTTGAACCCCCAGAGTGGCTTCTGAATGCATGAGCTCCCTTGCCTTGATCATGGTCCCAAATATATCCAAATATGTGGTTTCATCCCGTACCAGAGCATGGTTTCTGGGGGGGTTGTATATGAATAGGGCTTGAATAGGGCTTGAATAGGGGAAGGCATTGTTCAACTATCTGTAAGTTTGGGGTACTCACTCTCGACTCATAGCCACAAGCCTTATACCTGGAATCTGGAATCCTGGGGCCACAAGAACCTGGTATGCCAATGAGTCAAGGGCCAAGCGTGAGGATGTCCATGTGAGATCATGGGGATAAAGATCGAAGACCACTCTTTCCGAAGCAAAATCACTGAAGAAGGATGCTTGGTTTTGCCTGATTTGTATGATATTTGTAACTCCATCGATCCATTGCTTAATCATAACGTTCCATTTGATTTGGCAAACGCTGCCATGGTTTGGGATGCACCCTGTTCTTCAGGTTCACCCTGTGGGCCCCGTGCAGTAGGCCCGTTGCCTTCCAACGTCCAATTATAATCGGCACCACAATCAAAACACAAAAAGTGATAATTGGTAGACCATGCCCCAAGATGCCCCAAGTTTACCATTTTTTACAGGGATTCCAACCATCAATACCTAGTTCCCCCTGATCTCCAAGCGGCCGTTGCTGCTGTCTCTTCTCTTTCACACGTCTTCGCGCTAGAAAGCCGCGAGAAAAACGTTGCAGTTGCACAGCTGCAAGCTCCTGTATCCAACTGTGGAGTGCTAAATGGAATGAAAACCTCATGTTCCACAACACACCAAATATATAATCAAACCAAACGAACAATCTAATATATATATATATATATATACATATATAATATAATACACATTGTATGCCTGTAATTAGCTGTGCATGTTTGTATATGTGTATAATTATGATCCACTTGAGTACGCCAAAAAAAACGTGCCTGTTGATGATCAACCCACCTTGTAGAGGCATTTTAGCCACGGCATGTTGAGAAGGGGTCGACTCGTGACTTCAAAATTTGGGAAAAGGGTACCCGCCAGAAGTTGCACATTTGCGAAAAACAGTGCTGGTGGGGACATGTTGGGTTGGATGCATGAATGGTAAAATATGGTAAACTAGTGATTTTTTCAATTTGTTTGTTCTTTATCTAACCAAATTTGTCATCCAAAATATGAGTGTAAAATGGGTCATAACCGCTGCCCCAGCCGCTGCTTGGCGTTCTCAAACCGTATGAACAACAGGCGAACAACAATAACCATTGGGGATCATCATAGCATGGTAATGACATCATTGAAATCACAAACCAAACCAAGTGTTTTATATTTAGGGTATCCAAAACCCAAAAATACAGACTTATGTTGAAACCATCCACCAGTCCATTTGGACTCATCCTCATATCAATATACCAACCAACATCGTCTCACATCCTGTGGGGTTGGTGCCGCGGGCGCCGCAGCACTTTTTACCTTGGCCTTGCTTTTGGCACCTGGGCGGCAACTTGCACAAGTGGAAGGGTTGGTCCAAGAGTGGGTACCCCTAACGTCCATCCAAAACCCATAGTTAATCATGGTTTATCATCATGTTTCCGTTGTCAAATTGCCTTTTTGGGTTACGTGCAATTGTTGGAACCAAACGTGTTTTGGATCAAACACTAAAAACCACCAGTGGTTCAGCCAACCCCCCAAGTCACTTGTGAAAGTCACTAGGCAAAAATCATGTGTCACCCGTCCATTCTTAGAGATTGACGTCGAACATGTTTGAACCCATATAACAAGCGGACTAACGGACCCACATTTTGTATATGAAACAATGACATGTTCTGGCCGCTTAAGTTTGAACCACACCCACATTGCCGTTTTGAATCGCCACTGAATATATATATATATATATTTTGAAATAAGGAATTCTTGAGAGCATCTGGGCTATGACACTGTGCCACATCTTCTGGGGGATTGTACGATCAGCGCAATGGCCCTGGGATGAGCTGTGCAGCTTGTAAAAACGTAAAAAAATCGCCCCAGGTAATCATTGGGTTCATGGCTGATGTCATCTATCTATCTAGTCCAACCTACTCTAGTCAAATCCAATCCAACCCAGTCTACGTTCTAAACTGCGTTCTAAACAAATCTATCTATCTAATCTGATCTAATCTAATCTGATCTAATCCCCGAAATATCAAGGGTAATGTCAAGTTAGGATTACGCATTTATCAAGTTAGTTTCAAAATGTTTTGGCAATACTAAAACGGGCTGGTCCCCCTGATTAATCAACCACTGGTTTGTCGCATGCAGTCACATGCTTTGAACACCCGCTCCTTTCAAGTCTCACACAGAGCTTTGACTCTGACAAACCTCTGACAAAGAATTCCCCATAAGGTTCTGTTTGGCTGAGCGCGCACTACAATCATACAAGTTGAGTAATTCATTACTTTGCTGAGCTGCATTGGCACCGGCCTTTTTCCGACTTTGCAGTCACAGTCGCAGACTTGTGACTTTGCACTCACAGACTTGTGACTTTGCAATCGCATGCTCAGTCTTGCAGTCTTGGTTCAAACCAAACTCTTGGATAAGTTGCCCAAAAAAACAATTTCCCAAATGGTCTGCTGCTTAATGAAAACGAAGTGTCAAAAAACATCACTTTGAGAAGCTCCGAAAGGGTACCCCTCATGAGCCCATGCCCCTCATGAAAGGGTTTTCTTAATTAATCACCCCCCTTGGCCCCTTTAGATTTCTTTTCGGCTTAAAAAGAAGATCAATTGCGCACGAAGCATCATACACAGCTGGCATGTCACCACATCGTAGAGCAAGACGCCCCACCAGAAGGGGGTTGTCATCCTGAATTTGAAAACACAAGTCTTGCTTGCTAAAGAAACATGTCAAGCTACGTTGGGGATACCAAAAAATATCATATATATATATACTATATATCACGTATCATCATCATCACATCACGCTGTCAATGTCAGATGCTTGCTGCAGCGGCCTTGGCCGCTTTCAACTTGGGCAGCAGCATGGCCTTGTTCGATCTTCACCGGGCGGCAGGGCGGTTGCCGGATCATTTTGCCCGCCCGCCAACATTCAAACGCGGCTGGCACGCACGTTTTTCTTCCTTTTCGAATGAATACCTTAAAGCAGTGGATCAGTGCAGGCAGGGTTTATTACAATTATATACCACACGCGCCTCATTGTCAGCCATTTCAGACACATCCGCATCCGATGTGCACATGTCCTGCTTTAAAGTGCTAGGTTTTTGAACAAGAGTGCAGCAATGAATGCATATACCACATCTGCTTTTTCGATCGGGTCTAGCTCCTGAAAACCTATGAGGTGTTGTGTTGTTCATAATTCTTTAGTTTTGTTGGCCGAGGTTTGTTTTTTTAAACATCCCTCGGCACTTCTGTGCGTCATGTGTCGCCCAGCTCCTTGCGAAGCGCTCTGATGTGGACAACGAACCAAGCCGATGGCGAGGATGCCATTTCACAATTGTCACAGACACTGCAAGAAATCAGATTGATATCTCAAAACCTTACTTATCTTGAGATTTCTTCTAGGTTTAAAAGGAAAATCAATTGAAAGTAGATTGATATCGAATTGAAGTTGATCTCTTAAGACTTCAACTTACGAGGTCGATTATGTGGGGTTGAACCTTAGCAGAACCTTCCGGGGGGGTTATTAATCCTAACTTGACATGATAGTGGATGACAACACTTTCAGCATATTATATTATAATATATTGTATTAAATCATATCATATTATATTAAATCATATTGTATTATATCATATCATAATTATGTTAAATTATATTGTATTATATTGTATTATATTGTATTATATCATATTAAACTGTATCATATCATATTATAAATTGATTGTAAGTGAACAAACCAATATTGGGTAGCATGAAATAACTCAAAACCCACTCCTCCTTTGAACAAAAAAAATAGCACCTCGTCGGGCCGCCACAGCTTTGGCAGCGGACCCAGCGGCGCCTGGTGCTGTGTTTCTAGGGGATGATTTGGGGGTGGAACTCTAATTTTTTCAAGGGGTACTGTAATAGGTCTATATATATATATATGTGGGAATACCATATCGGTATGAATATTGCAAATGAACCATTTACCGATATGGAAAATCACTGAACCAAGAGGAACCATTTCCCAAAGCAAATTGTAAATTGCTACAATGTGAGGCCCCCCACAGCTATAAGTTGGTTTAGATTCGACCCAGTAACTATAGTTATTTGCGTACCATAAACCATAGTTATTGGAGTTATAAACCAACTTAGCTATGTTGGGGGCCTCACATTGTATGGAATGTTAGGATAGCAAAAACACTTATGATAGTTATTGATATAATCATCTGGGATATGATGGGATATGATGTAATGTTATCAATATGTTATCCCTAAAAGTTTATGAAACAGATCCCCGTTTTATACCCATGGATTCTTATGACATGTCTATGATGATTCACATATCTTTGGACAAAACAGCAACCTGGCGGACACTGATTATGAATTACGTTCACTTGATTCATGTCTTTTAAAGTCGTGTAGGATTCGTGTCCTGTGCATTGATTCTCTCCGCCTGGTTACAGGTCATAACATGTCATAACCCTGGTACCGGATGACTATTCATGACTTCAACTGGCCAGGCTGCTACAACGAAGATAACATTGAAAAACAATTGAAAAGAACTACAATTTGGTTTCTGAGAGATTCCCCCTATTCCCATCTACCCTCTGGTAATTTAACATAACTATGGAAAATCACCATTTTTCATGGGAAAATTCACTATAAATGGCCATTTTCAATAGCTATGTTAAATTACCAGAGGGTATTTATCATCATTTACGGCGTGGCCAATGAGGTCAAAACATCTCCCTCAAACTCTCCTGCAGACTTCTTGGCTTTGGGAGCCATCCAGCAAGGACCATGCCGCTAGATCCATTTTTGTTGACCAACCAACACATGATTTGTTAAGGTCTAGAGTCTATACCAACATGTTTCTTTTACGATGGATGTGCATATGCTTTTTCTGAACACCAATAGACATATTTATACAGATATCCTTCGATACGCGTGCATAATTGATGCTGAAAAGCATGTATTTCACCCTGGGTTGTGAGGCCTGAGCATCTCTGCATCAAAACTTGTTGCTGTCTGTGCGTGCGTGCGTGTGCGTGCGTGGGTGTGTGTGTGTGTGTCTGAAGATGCTCTGTGTATGTACACATGTGTAGATTGCCCCCAGAAAAGCAACTTCAATGCGGAGCATGATGATTTGCTTTCAAATATTGAGGGTTTCCCCACCTGGTTGTTTCTGAAGTTGATAATCCCATAATCATTGATGCCCTGGATGCAAAACGAGGAATTCATGAGAATATTGGAGTTTAACAAGTCATCGGAAACTTACATATTCGGAACTGTACGGATGTTTGCAATTTGGGGATGGGTCAAAACCCTGGTACCCCTGGTGAACATCAAAATAGCTGGTAAATGGATGTTCATCCCCCTAAAAATGGTACTTATAGGTATTGATCCATAGCCATTTGTTTGCACCTAGACTTTGTGAGAATGGGTTGGACATGACCTCCAGCCACTACTAGTGACTTTCGCACAATGGGTGACCCAGCCACCTTCAATACCAACAGTCAGCCGGGTAGTGGCCATGTACAAAGCTTTCATGAGTCAAACCGTTGCCTACCTAAAAGGATGGCGATGTTCTAATAGATATTACGAGCATCACCTAAAATTCGAGCAATAAAAATAACTGCTCCAAAATCTTAAAATAATTCAGAAGCATAGGATTGCAACATAATCAGCGACCAACAAGCAAAGTCATCAGCCTTGAATGCTTAGATCTTTTGGCAGATTTTTCTGGGCGGTCAGACAAAGGTCCGTCCCTCACTCGGCGGAAGCTATGAATGGGGTGCTCTTACATAGGGATGAGGATTGTTGAAGTGCCCTGACTTCCAAAGCACATGCCTCCTTGGATTGCTCATAGTCTCTAGACATCTCTAGACTCTATATGCTATGTATTGGGTGAATTGCTTGGGCTTAAATCTACTGTACGTGTTTATGCCTTATATTATACATGTATACAGAGTATGGATCGATTCATCATCCCATATCATCCCGCATTCCGCATTCGCATCGCTCCGTAAACACGGCGCAACGGCTGGCTGGGAGCTGCTTCCCTGTTAAAGGGGACTAGAGCCCCAGCAAGAGGATAGGAGTGCAAGAACAGCTCGAAAAGTATTCAACAGGTGTATATTCCCATAGGATCCATGGTGCTGGAATATTTACCAACATTTGCCCCCCAAAAAATGACCCCATAAATGACGCAGTTTTGTAGGTAAATATATATACCACTAGTACCGCACAAGGCGGTGGCGGAAGTTTCAGAATAGGAAACCTCTAGGAGACGTTGGTTGTTGTGAATCACGGATGGCAGAGCGAATCCACTGATTGACCGAAAGGTGGTTGGAGTTGTGTTTGCTGGAATGGTTGCAATGGTTGCAGTGGTCACCTCACCTACAACTGCTGGATGTAGTGTGATGTACTGCAACTGTAGTTGTAGTTGTAGCGTAGTGGAGTTGTAGTTGTGGTGTAATGTAATTAGTGTAGTGTAGTTGCAGTCATATAGTTGTAGATGTAGTTGTTTAGTAGTTGTAGTTGTAGTTGTTGTAGTTGTTGTTGTTGTTGTAGTTGTAGCTGTAGTTGTTGTGTGGTTGTAGTTGTTGTGTAGTGTAGGTGTAGGTGTAGTAGTAGTAGTAGTAGTAGTAGTAGTAGTAGTAGTAGTAGTAGTAGTAGTA